ATTAAAGTGATTAATCGTCCTGTTTTCCGTGGCCGTGCGTCAGCGTAACTGGTAAGGCACTCGTTTCACCCCAAGTAAATAGATCTGAAACCGTTTGTGTAAAACCATTAAATGATAAACAGTTGTCTCTTCCAACTAGGCTATGAGTCATTGAAGGCTGTTCAGAGAGAGCACATTTTGGAAAAGATCCTTCAGCGAAAATTATCAACAGACGTAACAATTATCTCACATGCATCAGAAACATATCCAGCAACGAAGATAGCTACACTGAAGCCACGAGTTTCAGTGAAAGCAAAAAGAGCTGCGAAGAAATTCCCACAGGAGAAAAGCAGGAGACCAGTGACTTATTATTGACGAGGCGGTACTCAGAAATCTTCGCATAAGCCGAGTTATACTGACTTCTGATACACCCTCATTAAGTAAGTGTGTAGTAAATGTAGTTCCCCAACTCTTAGATAATTTTTAGTAGCCTCAACTGATTTGTAGTTTGTTTACACCTCAGTGGACTCCACTTTGTTTTGCAGTGAAAACGGAACCAGGTTTTAGCCCTCGGTTTCGAACACCTGGATGAACCGACACTACACTGATGGGCTGCGTCATTGAACCCATCGCTACGCTCTCTAACAACGTTCGCAATCAAACGGTTCAGCTCAGCGTACAAATCATCGATCATCCCTCACATGTGTTCTGGTTCCACACTTGCTGTTCCTGCTTTCCAGTTTCCCGGTCATCCCAATCAATGCAGGGTTGATCCCATGATTGCACTCAATCTGGCATAGCCGTAACAAAACGTGCGGAAATTTGTTTGTAGACTAATACTTCGGTTTGTCTTCAAGTCAGCATCTCGGAACTGTTCAGCTAGCTGCAACCTGAGCGATCTTTCTATGCCCAGCTGATGAGTCGCCTCAAAGGCGTAGAAAACAATGTGTTTGAGTGTCTACAGCACTTAATTCATATTTATCAAAACAGTTTCTCCGTACATCAGTCTCAATCGATATTGCAAAATATCACATTCAAAGTAGATGTTTGATATGTTACAAGTAACATTGAGACAACCTTGGTCATTCTCGAAATGAGGCTAGCGGAAGCATACCCAATCCTTTCAAATTATGTCGAATTACAAAGCGTGACAGAATTATCTGAAGTATGTGGAATGATGTTCGGATGAGATTACGAAGGGGAGATAATTGATGCAGTCAATTCTGGGTGAGAAAAATTGAGCGTTTGTATGTTGTATGATAGTTATTTGAGATGAGGTGCACCTAAAATTTATATTACGGAAATTTTGGGATGAATTGCCTATGCTCTCACCTAAGAGAACATGAAAATCCCCAAAAGCGGAAACGCTTCGTTCATATCTCTTATCTCTAAAACTGCCCAGGGAAACAACTGGAAGCTTGAATCTATTTAACGTCAACCATCAATAACCTGAAAATTTGGTTGAACAATATACTCATATTAACACATTGAGTTAAGCTGCTTTACTTTAAAATGTTTCCACCGGGAGTTTTTCCACTGTTAGCAGATAATGTATTAATAAAGAACTAGCAAGGATCATACATAATACACTACTCATAAGGTTGCTGAAAATACTTCGGCAGTCCATGACCGGTTTCGCTTTTCTTGGGGCTCATCAGGTAGGTGCAATTCCCGAGCTTCCGTCAACCTTATACTCAACTCGAAACCGAATTGCACGAAATGTGCGAAATATACACTCTTAGAAATGAGTATATCTTGCTAGAAAGGATTATATCTACTGTGATTTTCACCTCTACCACCAAGCACTGGCCTCATAGGAGACTGTCTGACTAAAACATGCGCAAACGAATGATGATGTCATTGAAAGCAAAACTTTCCTGAGTAATCTCATTCTTACAACAGTCCATGATTGTTTCGCTTTTCTTGGGGCTCATCAGGTAGGTGCAATTCCCGAGCTTCCGTCAACCTTATACTCAACTAGAAACCGAATTGCACGAAATGTGCGAAACATACACTCTTAGAAATGAGTATATCTTGCTAGAAAGGATTATATCTACTGTGATTTTCACCTCTACCACCAAGCACTGGCCTCATAGGAGACTGTCTGACTAAAACATGCGCAAACGAATGATGATGTCATTGAAAGCAAAACTTTCCTGAGTAATCTCATTCTTACAAAATCATTTTGGCTATCTTTCTGACCAAATTGTAGCCGGAGTGAAAAAAAACATTTCGTTAATGATGGTTGTTTTCAAATTCCCACATCACACTTTACAAAGTCGGACGGGCAAATTTAGCGACCGGCATGTTTGGAATATGAGGTAGGCCTTAGCTGAGTTTAGTTGTATCGGTACATTGATACTTTCCAAGGAGCAAGTAGAAGTGGAAATTTTTCGAGTCCTAACTCCTGCTTCATGGATTCTGTGCCATAAGTAAAGCGTAATTTACATCCAAAAGAGCAAAAAGTCAAAGATTAGAACGGTTTTCTCTAGGTTTCAACGTTTGCTACTCTGCGATGGCGATATTGCTATTGCTATGGAAGTTTCATGATGCATATATTTTCAAGCGCGGTGTTTTTAACTCCAAAACAACTGCCAAAACTATGTGAAATGCTACTCCTACCCAGGTGACATATGTTAATTTTACGATCTGTTTGGTAGTCGTTGCTTTCAAACTGTCAGTCAACCACACCAGACGGCGATGAGTTTCCAAAATGTCTCGTTTCCAGCAGAAAGTCAATTATAGTGCCATAGTGTATTTTTCAAAATGAGACACATCCGTGGTCGCGATTAGTTCGGGCAGGCAATCTTGAAAGAGGGAAAGAAGCAGAAGTGGTGAGAAGGAGTGGATCCGTTCAATTGATCAGTAGTCCCATGCGTTTTTGTAGGGTGAAAAAATCGATGTTATCGCATCAACAGAGAACTGTCCGTCAGCTTGCGTGATGTTCACTTTCACGTAAGAAGATACTTTCGATTTAAGTGAGCGGTTAAGAAAAGAGATTGTACAGTCTACTGAAAAGTTGAGTTTTGTCATTTTAAGTCGCTAGCCAAAAAAGAACAACTCCGGCCAACTCTAAACGATAGTTTGGTCGCAGAAAAGCTGTAAAGGGGTATCCGGAAAAATGAATTCGAAATACTAACAGTTGGCCTTTGAGATGCAAAGCAGGTTTTAGTCGGCGAAATTGTTACAAAATTCAGTTTCAGTATTATTTGCTTGTTTTATGAAAAGTCTCTAGATCTGTTCAATTTGACAAATCGGGCGTCGCAAGTCTGCCTCGCTCAGCTACCAAGTTACCAACGCGCACTGTTAGCTGCTTTCCGAGAACGTTTTACAGAAATGAAGGTCAAGCGATCAAGAAATTCATTTGCGGTTAGAAGTTATCAATATGGAAATAAACTATTGGCCCAAAATGTTTATTTTTACCTTGTTTAATCGAGTCACACTGGGAACCTTGCATCATGAGCTTCAGAACGGGGTATTCTAATAATAATATTAAATTTCATGACACCAAAAAGGGAAGCTACTGAACCCACTCCAGATCAACTGCTGGGTCATACAGAATTTATTAGGCAAAAGTGCGTTGATGAGACCTGACTGCATGGCGATATCACAGAACTTTCCGCATCTAATAGTAACAGGATTAAGCATCTTGCGGGATGCACATCTTTATTTCCTTGAGAAACATACTCATGGAACAACCAGTCGAAGCAAACCGGTTGAATCTGCCACACGCTCTTACGCCTAGGATCGGCAAGGCTTACCCGTCCTGCATGAATTTTAGAGTCTCAGTTTGCGGTGCATGCAATAAACGTAGAAACCATACCAGCGAAGGTATGCAGTTGTACCTGCTTCTAGCATCAATTCAAAAACTAACGAAAACTTTTGATATTTTGTCATTGCATTCCATCGTTTGTTGGATCGGAATCTGTGATGTTCGGAGACATTCAATCTTGCAGTAGTAGAAGCTTTTCCATTCTTTTCAAGTTGTTAACTGTCCAGACACGAACTACTATTTGTCACCAAGGGGGGTTGCATAAGAATCAAAGTGATTTTAACCAAGTTGTAACGTTCGCTCGAACGGTAAGGACAGGATAGTCCTTACGCACCTGTACATTCAATATGTATGTTGCGTCTTATTGTCTTCTCAACGCACGGAGAGATTAACAAACTGTTAACTTGTTGCAATCAGACAAATACGGAAGGATTGTGGACTAGTTTGTGCTCATAGTGAGGATGGATATTATTCGAAATGGAAGCCATTTCTAGGAACACATAATATAGGGATGAAATGGTTAAGAAGAAGGAAACAATAAGCAGCTCAGTAGCCAGACGGATGTAAACTTGTGAAACGTCGTGATTGTTGCAGGGATATACGGGTAACAGCGACATTCATTCAGATAACTTTGTCTCACCAAATGCACTAGGCTTCGAGCGTAATTTCCTACCGAAGTGAGCCAAAATGGAATGGTCCTTTCATTGACTCACTGAAACCCAGAATAATTTCAGTCATTTTCGTTCTTTCCTATATATTTGGTGTTGCAGTAGAAAGGAAAAAAATTCCAACAGAATACCTATTCAGTTGCAAACTACCCATCATGTTGGTTGTTTACAACAAGGTTAACTCCCTGCAACTTGATAACGTGACGCGGGAAAATTCATACAGACCTAAAAACACTAATATCTCTTGTGCCGTTCTTAGAAGCGCGTAAAGTAGGACGGCAAAATGTGAGCGTCCCAATTGTCCGTCTTCAGTAGATTATTTCGCTTGCTGAAATAAATATTTTGGACGGTGGTAATCTTCACTTGACAGTGTACCTTTATATGACAGTGGAAACAGCAATATAGAGTGGAGCCTTGTTTATAACATGACTCCACTCGGTAGTATCCGGGGTGAAATCGACAACTAAACTTATTGCGAGAAATACACGCATTTGCATATCAACTTGGTTTTCACGAGAGTTTCAGCTGAATCTCTCAAAACAACGAGAAATACATTTGCATATCAACTTGACTTTCAACAGAGTTTCAGCTGAATCTCTCAAAACAACAAAACACACAGCGTACAAGGTACTGGCTGTATCCCATGAGACTAAATGATGGCTTGGGTTTGTTGGATTTGGCTATTGCCCTCAACGAGCGCATACATGACACCTTGCAGTCTCTATTTCAGAATTCTGACAGCCCCCTTGCAGAAGCTCTGTATTTAATCGGACCGGTATGTCAAAGACGATTTTTGTGTTGAGCTACGAACATTGATCAGTCGCACCCCTAAACGTAATAACCTGAAGAGCGCTGATGACTAGACAACTGGCACCAGGGCTTCAGAAGAATCCACACATCGCAACCCTAGACTTTAGGCCTAGCACACCGCATCACAACTGGTGGTTGATTGACCTTCAGTTGACCAGTTATATTCAATATATGTTTTTAACGCTCGATCGGACCCCCATTCACCTGGTACAACAGTTACGGGCATACACTCCTCAAAAACCTTGTGGTGGTCCGGCAGCATCTCTGTTTAGACATAACCTGTCCTACCGTGGAATAGAAGTCAGAAGGAATTTCTGTTTAGACACACAAATTGTGATCGCACAACAGATCAACGTGGTTCATTTTGCAGATTTCAAAAAACTCGCTCAACCTTAGGATGCAATCCTCGGCCAGCTTACCGCCAGGATGTAATTTCCGCCAATCTCTACTGAAGAATCCTAGCAAAGTGAGCGAAGTAATATTCGAGACGCTCAGGGTCATTTGATAATGTAATATAGAAAATTGCTAAGCGTCTGAATCTCTTAGAGGACCACTCATCCCTAGTCCAAACACGCACGCTCAATCCATCTAATTTCCTTGGCTTACATAGTCACGCCAACCTCTCATTCCGGAAGTTACAGCATGGATTACTGGTATGAAAGGACTTCTGTCAAGTAGACAGCTTCACATGTCCGCATCTTTTTCGACCAATCTGTTGCGCTCCAGGTCAACGACAGAGTCAGCAGAGCAATCTTTGAAACCATGGAGGCTAATGTATAACTGACCATGAGTAAAAGCTGGAGAGACTTCAGCCTGGCACTCAATGTTTCATCCAGCCGCCACCCTACATAGCCACCACTACCTCCATCCCGTAGACCACCAATTGCTACGCCTGTAGCTAAAGGAAAAGAGTACCTGGCTGAAGATAATATCCTGGAGTCAATAGACACAATCCAGTTTCTGTCAATCCTCGAACCTCTTCAGAAGCTTTCCTGCTTAATATGGGAAGCTGAAGTTCTCTCGATGGATTGTGATACCACGCTACCTTCACTGGTACCCAAAAAGGCTACATTGTGGTTTGTGAGGGCTAGCATGGCATTATCCTAATAGATATCGCTAGTGACTCGTTGATCACACTACTGTGCTGCTCCAGACAGGCGACAGGATCCCACATCTGGCTGAATCAAGGAGACCTCCCTGCAGGAATGAGTTCTACTCACCAGTCAGTCAAGCCACGGCTTGTTTTGCAACACCGTGACAAGTTCTAGCAAACAACTACAGTTTATGTTGAATTTCGTGCAGCACTTGATTCAGTTGAAAATGAACGCCTTTGGTAACATGTCGAAATACCGATAGCTCGGGTGAGTTTATTGGTTGCATATCAGCTGGCTGTTGATCTGATTACCAAGCTCGGTGAACAGATCAATACCTAATCAATAATCAATAAGGAGCACCTTTGAATTCAGTTCAAAGTTGGCAGCGTGTCCTTATCTCACCAGAGCTTACTGCAAAAGAAATAAGCCCAAGTTCAATTTCATTGGGAATAGACTGTTGATTCTGTTTTAAAATCCGTTGTTCTGGAGGGCATCATAATTCTGCCGACCTTCAATATCGCAGTATCGCATGTCCTCAGCAACTCCCTGGAGTACCAGTAAGCCTTACCAGGTGAATCATGAACCTTCATTAAGGTGATGGCATCGCAGTCCACAGCATATATCCGACGGAGAATTCAGCTGGGTTCCAGATGCGTCTACCGTCAAAACTAAATCCGTATGCAGCCGAGTGCGTTAGCGTTCTGCTGTGAGTGGTCGCGGTTGCGGAATGCACACCCACATCATCATCGTTTGAAAAGGCGTCCTCCCAGCGCAGTCGTTCTGATGAGTCGATACCAAAGGGCGAAGCACTGCGCTCGAAGTTCGCTCTTATTAGAGCTCACTAGCAGAGCACATCCTTGATTGTGCCAGGGTTTGGACTCCATACATCTGACATGAAAGGCCTTTACGGTGGTGCAATTTCGAATCCACTGTACTCTCCTGTCAGCCTGTGTTGGTGTATGCGTTATGTACAAGGTTGTACCATGCATTTTTGAATGAATTATGAGAGGATAACATTTTGAACCTTAATGGTTTTACTTTTACCGGTACGCAAATGAACTAATATGTCTGGCGTTTCGTTCCGTCTTCATCTTTCCACCCGACACGCGAAAAATAATCTGATATAGTTAGCCAAGCACAGGCAAGCAGAATCACAAGGAAACCTTTTTTCAATTTCCACACCTGCTCACAGTTTGATTTTTCATTCGATCGCTGTGTAAAATGGAGGCTTATTTGTCTGTGTGATGGTCTCAGCTTGCAGTGCGATCAGTAAATACTCGCTAAGATGTCAGTCGACTGCGTCAAGAACGTCAGATTTTTGAAAATAACCCCAGAATGTCGGGAACCTACTGTCAACCTTAAACTCGACCAAAATCTCAGTTGGGAAGCTGGAAAGCATCCAGGCCAGCCAATCACTCAGTCATTGCAGCAAAAGCCGATGGTTGTACAGACACGCCACAGAGGCACGACCGGGTATGATAAAGGTTCGGGCATTTCACATAAGCACAGTCGATCTTGATGGTTAAGGTCGCAAGTTGTACGGTAATTGTTACGTGATCTGGTGAGCCACCGCCGCATGTCCACTAAACGCCGATCAGAAAGCCTGGATCAATTTCAAAAAGTGCCCTTTAAATAGCACAAAGTCGTTGTGACTCATGCTCTCGCTGGTTGCAATAACGCTGTTGTGTTCTTTGTCGGCGAGTATTTTTTCGGGTCGCCGCATGTTAAACGCCGATCAGAAAGCCTGGATCAATTTCAAAAAGTGCCCTTTAAATAGCACAAAGTCGTTGTGACTCATGCTCTCGCTGGTTGCAATAACGCTGTTGTGTTCTTTGTCGGCGAGTATTTTTTCGGGTTTAAGCACTGGAGTGAATACAACAGTCAAAAATAACAGATTAATAGCTGGTTTTGAGCGTGCAGTAAATCCGCCTGGTCGTGACATATAAAACCCGCATCTCGGACTTCTGCTTGGTTGACTCATTAGGACACAGAGCAACAACACGATGATTCATAGAGTTACGGACACATACAAGGTTTTGGTCTTCGCATAGTTTTCAGCCTGGTGGACGTGTTCACGCAGCTGGAAGACCTCTATATGTGCTTCTTTGAGCTGTACGGGGCATAGTTTAATAAAAGTAGTCTAAAGGAAACCAAAAACCTTCCAGTTGTACACTCTACAGGAGCACAATTAACCAGTCTTTTATCGGCCGATGAGTCACGTCCTAACTTCAAAGTAAGACACACGTCCAACTGCCATCACAATATCGACAAATGCTCTGCTACGCCTAGACAACTTCGTTCCAGGTTTAAACTCCTCTGCTCCGCTCTGCCCTGTCAATCTGGAATGCTGTCTCGATGCTGTACCTGAAAAGACTACACATAGTCTACTCAAAATTTCTTAAAACAACATTTTGTCTCAACCTCCGTTTATGTTTGAGTCTTTTTAAGACCTTTCAAATGCTTCTCACCGCTGGAGTACGATTTACTGGTTTAATCCATATTCAGTAAGTCAGTAGGTCAGCGACAAAGCAAAAAAGTAAGCTATTCTGGGTGGTCAGAATGGATTCTAGAAAAACATTTATGCCTTCTGTGTACCAGGTAGACTCAGACATGAGACGGGAACTATGGATGTAAACTTCTCAAATCCCATTGTATCAGTACGGAAAAGATATTCTTTGAAATCGAATCTGAAGCTCACCCGCATGAGCTTCATTCAGGTTCCTTTAATCTCACTGCGCAAACGAGGACACACTGCTGCTGAACGATCATTGCCCTATTGGATGGTTTCGTCCGCGAAACATCAAACCCTATAAAACCTAAACCGCCATCCGTCGTGCCAAAAGAGACCCCATTTTCGTCTTGGTAACGTGTGACACAATAGATACTGGTCGTCAGTTGAACGCGATGTATCACATCGTGGGTGACATTAATTCTCCATATTTTAGACAAAATCTACAAAAAGCATCTAGATCGGTCACTTGGTGCTAGAGTATATCATGTATTTTCATGCGCTCCAATACTTATTGCAAATAACGCGGTCCAACCTGAGCGGCCCTTTGAAGCCGGCTATTTTTAGGGCCAAATGTAGGACTTTCTTCGTTTTGTCCCACTTCAGAAGCGATATGATTTGTCATCGTAAGTCAGTATGCCAATGATGTGGCCGCGATTTACACGGTACCCGATGCATAGTGTCCAGTCTCATTCGTAAGTGTTCTGCCGGTATTATATCAGGACCAGACTTTCCCGACCAATGTGTGCTGTCATTTGGATTCATACCTTCTTCAGTGACAGCATCGGACATCTGTAGAGAACATCCCTCAATCTCACCTCCCGCATTTCTAAAATATTGTATTTGTGCAGACATGACACAATAACAAATCTGAATGTTACGTTTTGTCGGTTGTAGGCACACATGGAGAATTCCGCCTTCTAATCTTACGAAGCATCACGAGGAATTCGCATTTGCTAAATTCATCGGCCCCACATTACTATACACATCTGTTACTCGCCCTTGTCATGACCCACGTTTTTCGGAAGCCACAACAATATTTAGGAAAATGTCACAGTTGAATATTTAAAGACACGTTTTGTGCGTCATATGAACCAATCGAATATTTTGGTCAGGCAGCGGAAAAGGTGATATGACGAAATAGAAAAACAGTGCAAGGGAACAAGCATCGTTTGATTAGTTCCCGAATGCGGTTTCAGCGCATTTCTTATTAATAAAAATGGGAACGGGATCGAACTGACTGGAATTTTCCTTGAATGCCTTCGACATGATATTGTTGCAACTTACGGTCTCTGAATACATTGACTGTTGCAGCATACCGGGTTGGTCTCGAAGTCAATCACTCTACTAGATCGTTATTCA